TGAGTGGGTCTGAGGGGGTAACAAAGATATAGGGGTTGGTCCAAGAAGTGGGAAAAAAATATTTTTTTTATTGTCTTCTAAGGGGTAACTCGTGAAAGTAGAGCCCTTTGGGCTAAAATTTCGTCCGTTTGGCTCTATCTCTCACCGTTTAGGCGCTAGAGGGAGTTCTTCTGACAAAAGAGGCCCAAAAACAATATATTAAGCTTCTAAAGTATTTGATGGTTTCCTAAGGGGTAACTCGTGAAAGTAGAGCCCTTTGGGCTAAAATTTCGTCCGTTTGGCTCTATCTCTCACTGTTTAGGCGCAAGAGGGAGTTTTTCTGACAAAAGTGGCCCAAAAACAATATATTAAGCTTAGAAAATATTTGATGGTTTCCTAGAGGGTAACTTGTGAAAATAGAGCCCCATGGGTTAAAATTTCGTCCGTTTGGCTCTATCTCTCACCGTTTAGGCGATAGAGGGTGTTTCTCTCACCAAAATGGCCAAAACATCAATATTTTTATTTTTTCAGAAGTACACTTCTGTCTGAGAAGTATGCGGCCGGTTCAAAATTTTCTTCTAAGCAGAAGAGTGGGCTTATTTTATGGTGGCACATCATTAATAAAACGTGAACACTTTCATGCAAAAAAGAAAAACATATTTAGTTTTTTGTTGTTTGAACACGTTCGGTGTCATTCAGAGTATGCCTGGAAGTATATTTAACTTCTAGGTCTAGTCTTATGTACATTGTCATAGGTGTCTTTTTGGATTTATAAGCTAACATCAATAACTTAAAATTTCGCCATAACTTGCATGTATGCTACAAACTGCGGCACACACAGCCAAAGATGTTCAGCGTATGAAAAGAATACTTCGTTTGTTGAGTTTAACTAACGAAGGAGACAGAAAAGGTACCTGGCAAAAAGATGGTTCGAAGCGAGCCGTCACGCAAACGGGCCGAAGGCCCGTTTTCGGATAGAAGATGAATTATTACACCATAAAAATTCAGAAGGGACGGGCGGAAGGCCCGTCCCAAACGCCGCCGGCAGGCCAAGCTGGGCCCGCTCCCTGCCGAACCGAGTTGCCGGTGGAGCGAAGCGGAGCTGGCAACTTGGTTTGGCGGAAGAGCGGGCCCAGCTTGTTCTTTCATGGGGTAGGTGATACAGTTATTGAACGGGGTACAGTTATTGGACGATTCGCACTGCGAGCGCCGCTGTGGTCAAACGGCGGCGTGATTCGGTGGGTGGGTTCTCGAACTTTCATCTACCGCTGTCCCGGCTCCTGCAGCCT